ATTACGATGAAAAATAAAAAAAAGTTTTGTGAAAATCTTGCGTCTTCATTACTAACACGGGTACTTATTGATTTGCCCTCGTGTGTATATATATATATATAAACGTTTAAAAAAACCATCAAAAATTACAGATGCAGCTTTTGAATTTTCTAGAATAAAGAAGTAATTAAAAATAATAAAAGAAAGTATATATATAATGTAGATGATCGATAATTAGAACACAACTTTTACCGCACGTCAAATGGATGAGAGAAGTTTGTAAAGCTATATATATATATATATATATATATGTATAACATCAAGTTAATTATCTTTATTAATATATGTATGACTTACATAATGGATGCCTTTATCATTCGTTTTTCTTTTCATTTTTTTTAATCATATAACATAAATTTTGTTAGCATTCTTTAGTTCTTCAATAATTTTATCTGTTTTTACAGTATGTGCGTTGTGGAGCTTCGGTGAGACCGTTCCTTGCGATCAGTGCGGACGGGAGTGTGCTGACACATGCGGCACCCGGCAATTTCGCGCTTGTTGCTTCAACAATATGCGGAAGAGACATTCCAACTTCTTTGGCCTGAAATTTTGGATGAAACCGCGGAGATATGCGCTTCACTTTTACCCTGACTACGACGCTTAATCACAGCGCTATATACATCCAACAGAATTATGGAGAATCCTACGATATAAAGCTAGTTACTGTGCTCAATGTTATATTTACTATCCACGCACATCGTTCAATTAAAGTCGCATAATGTCGCCTTTATTTTTCCCGCAACTTCTCTCCCTTCTTTTCCCTTCGATAACACGCTTGTTGATGCCAATAATTAAAATTAAAGATATTATCCAGCAGTAAGATATTCGATTATGATTCTTTGTGTATAATACAAAAATCTCTTGCACCTGATTTTATATATAGAGTTTTACTTACAAGCGATTCTCGATTAGTTAACTTCAATGAAGAAATCTATGAAAGAAGAATCGAGTGACCATATGCATATTAATAATATACGCACGTATATAAAATAAAAAATATTTTTGATTTGCAAAAATATAAAATTATATATTTTTAAATTTATACATTATTTTTGTCAAGCTGTGCTTATACTACAGATAGATTTATATAACAGTATTAATAAATACATAATAACAACTTTGGCTTAATGTTATACTGTTAGAAATTTCTTGAATTTAAGTGTAACGAAAGCTCGTGGTCAGGTAACTGAAAATGAATGATTTAATTGAAAACTAAGTTACAGTAATCTTGAATGTAATGAATGTTGTATTAAATTTCATGTACAAGTACATAAATATACCTTTCAGTTATAAATATATCAAATTTAATGTAATGTCATGAAATTAAATTTAACTTGTGTAATTTAAAAATATAATAAATTTCATGTTATTTTTAACAGTGTATGTAAAAAATATGTACTATTGTCAAAATTTCGTTGATTAAATCATGATTAAATCATAATTAATATCATGATTACAAATATGAAGTATTTTTAAATGACTATTGTCATTTCTTTAAACATCAAATTGTTAAAATTTCTTGGAGTAACAGTTTGAGATTTGCACACAATTAAACTATTGTGCGCAAACATTAAACTATTCTATTGAAATTAAAATTATGCACAGCTTGATGATTTTTATTATGCAAATAATAAAAAAGTAGCTATTATTCTATAATTGAATTTATTATGTACACAATTTTCTTCCTATTATCATTTTCTATAACATTTCTGCTTTCTTCGTATTTTTGATTTTTTAGACCTCTTTCCTTGATCAGTGTTCATGTATTTACGTTTTATTGATGTGGATTCATCATTTGATAGAAGATTGCTGCGACTACTACTCACAAAAGTCTCCCGATCTATTACTTCTATATAATAAAAATAAGTGGCATGTATTAACCGTAAAAGAAAATTTATTATGTATAATAGATACATCGTACATATATATATATATATGTATATATGCCCGCATGCGTACATAACACGTATGCATATACATATGTATATACATAAAATAGAGAAAGAAAACAACATTGCTCTAATCGATGCATACCTCCAATATCTTCCATGTCATTATTTGATAAAGATTTATCTTTTATGTTATTGTTCAAAGTAACTTTGATATTTTGTGTTAGTCTTGAGTCATCTGCCTCTGAATCATCAACCTCCGAATCATCTTCATCCAGCATTAAGGTATCAATTTTTTCGTTAGTAATGTTGTCATATTCTTCGGACATGATTTCTCTAATTAGCTGTTTCCCGGTAGATGAATTACTGTAAAATATAACATTCGTTTTACAAAACTAATTATAATATTAATACATTCGCGATCAGCGGTTATCGGGTAAGAATTTAGCTGAATACCGCATATAATTTTTAAAAATCTATAGCTGTGAATATATCGCAAGGATCTACTATTTAAATGTGTGAATATAAAAAATAGTGCTCCTCGATATAATGCTTATAATCATTTGTTTAAAATTAAAAAAAAATTAAATATTACAAATGCATACTGAAAAAATATGGATGAAAAATTACTGGCAATATTAAAATTGATAGAATTGTTTAAACTAATTAAATATATTTTTTGGAAACGAATATAATAAATCTACTACAATGTAAAACTTAATATTTTTACAGATTAGGTATATGTCGTTTTATAAGTCGCATGTCGTTATTGAGTAAATGAGAATGAGTTATGAAAGTGTTGAGTACCATCTCGTGTGACATATAAATATTATGAGTAGGCGTAATGCCGATAATTTGAAAAGACATGCAAAAAGTAACAAAGTTCTAGTCATTATAAAATATATATAAATCGTGAACATGAAAGGATCGGTAGCACGAGTGGCTTCAAGCCTAAGGTGATCGACTTGTGATCTGAAGATCCACCGAGTTCGATTTCACCCGTGCTCCATATACATGTTTTTCGCATTTAGGGATCATCACTCTAATCTAGTTTCTAATTCTGACTACCGATATTCAACTAAAAAGTTTAAAATGACGTTTAAAATGTTTAGGACTACATTACCGGCATTTAACTAAGGCTGCGATCCACTTGACGCTACAAACGCTTCGAAGCGTTTGAGCGACCAATCAGAACAAAGAATTTTATGAATTGACTAATCAAAGAATGCTTTGAAGCATTTGTAGCATGGACCATAGCCTAAAGAATTTGAAATGACGTAGAAGTATATTTCCAGTCTCAAATAGAGTAATTTCAAACTTACTGTGCCAAATCCTTGTCTTCCCAGTCCACACACAGCCACGATTTTAAGTTGTGTGGTAAACTTTGATCATTTGGAAGCCAGGGTTTTGCACCCACATATTGAAACTGTGGTGTATATCGATACAGCTCATCGTACCAGAAGCAACATTTCAAGAGTATATCTCTCGTATGAAACCTATTCAAATATAACATAAATATACATCTCTGTTCGTGTGAAAAAGAATAATGTGAACTTCGACGAATTGTTTATAAGGACATTACCAAATTCTGCATATAGTGGCCAAAGCTACTAAAGCAACGTGCCACAACTGACCCAATCTCATTCTGGACATAAAGTGATGTGAGGAAATCCTCGACATACTTTCTATTCTAGTCATGAGCTTTCCAAAGCCTTGCGTTCTCGCAAGCACATACTCCAGATTTTGTCTACTAGGTAAATTGAACATTCCGTCTCTCATTTGAATGAGAGATTTCAAAGTCACATAGTCATTTTTCAGACGCATTCTGTAATAGTTGTCCAACGCTTTGCCCAACTTGACCATGGACATGAAGCCTTTGTCATTTCGAAATTTAGTCTTCATTCGATAAATCAAACGGTTTAGGACTGCAATGTTTCTATGTAAATCATCCATTGATTCCAAATCATGAATCACTGTGCTCAATGTCTTCTTAAATCTAGATACGTCAACACCTAAAAACGAACAGTTACCTACAGATGTATATTTTTTGCAATCACTTTATTATTCTTACAAGCTACATTAGGAAGAAGTTTTATGCTAGACGATAAATGTATTAGCTCTCTCTCTCTCTCTCTTTCTCGAATAAATACTTCCTTCTTGATTAGTTTTTTTTTTAATATAATTGTATGGATTATGGGTATCATAACTGCTTGGGTAAAAATAGACATATTTTCCGGCGTATAAATAGACATATTTTTTGCAATTTTTCTTGAATTTTTCACTCTGGATTTTGAAATTTGCTTCCTAATAATCGAAACTCATATTTAAAAAATATGACATCTATCTTTATATTGCTTGTATTTTTTTTCTCTCTTTTTAACCCCCAAATGTATTTCTCATTTTAGTACAAAAATTTTGGAGATTTTAAGCAATGCGAACAGATTTATGATGTTTAATCTATGATGTTAATTTACACTGCGATATGCACATTCTTTTTGATGTCTATCCCTTTCACTCAAGCATTGCCTGTTATCTCCAGCGTCTCTCAGTTTAAATTTCATTCTGGAATGTTCTAATATCAAATCGTATATTAGAGAGATGAGAGATGAACATGTAAAGTAATAAAAAAATCAATTTTGTTTTTTCAACACGTTTATTGCTAAGACAGTTGTAATTAATTGATCACTACAATTAAGCAGGTTGGACAATTTATAAAACTGACGAACAGCATAAAAAGAGCGGCGACAAAATGGAAATTATTTTATTTATTACCATAATTCAAGGATGAAACTTCGCATTTCGTTTATTACAAATACAAACGCTCTTAGATCTTAAAACGCGAAAATAGAACAGGCTTGACAAGGAATGCATCGAGGACTGCGTCATCAAAAAACATTATAAAGAAATGAAATAATTTTAAAGAAAAAAAAAAAGATAATTATTTATAATTAATTTTATTATTTAGAATTAATTTTTATTACTTAAAATTAAAAAAGATAATTATTTAGAACACACGTATTCGACGCATTTTCATTTGAAAATATAAACGAGATAAAAAAATATATACCAGTCCTTTTAGCCTCTGGTGGCTTGACTTGCCACATTATATACGGCGGCCGGTCCAAAGTAGCCTGATTCCAAAGTGCCATCATTTTCATAAGCTTCAATGATATAATTACGTTATATATACGTAACAAATGTATACAACACAACCACGTGGCACAATTACAAAACAACAATTCTAACCACAAGGCACAACCGCAGACTAAAATCCTATATATGATAGGACTCTACCGCAGACGAGGAGCTGCGAGGAGCTAAGGGTGAAATCACACGGTGCGGAAAAAGATTGCGGAATAGAGAATGCGTCATTGAAACAACCAATCAGCGCTATTCAGCACTATTCGGAATAGCGCTGATTGGTTGCTTCAATGACGCATTCTCTATTCCACAGTCTTTTTCCGCACCGTGTGATTTCATATTCGCTCCTAAGAGCGAGTTTACATAGAAGTGTTTACGTAGAAGATTCATGGACCTATATATAAGGGCACGTTCACACCTTGACGGAAAAGCAGAAAGCGGAAAAGCAGCAGCCAATGACTGCGTTCAACAGAAAAAGCAGCTTTGCAACTGTTGTAAGGCCGGTATTCATAGTCGGTTCTTATTTCAAAACCATCTTAAGTAATGTCTTAATACGCTAACGCGGCTCTCTGATTGGTTCATGACACCTTCAAGGCTGAACTTAAGACGATCTTGAATATAAGAACTGACTATGAATACCGGCCTAAGATTCTCTACTGAACGCCTTCTAGCGTTTGCGCTTTTCCAATGGCTGCGTTCAGCAGACTCAACAGTTTTGCAACCGTTTTATGATTGTCTGCTGAGATAGGACCATTCTTCTAGATCTAAAAGTATGATCCAATTAGCGCGAAAGAAACTTCCAACAGTTGCAAAACAAACGTTCTGCTGAACGCAGCCAATATGTTTGCTAAGCGGCCACCATTTTTTCCAGCATACTGAAAGTATGCTTAAAGCTAGTATGCTAAATTCTACAATGGCTACACTGTACACTTAGTCTGCGACTTATACGATAGGTGTCTTTGTTTAACCTACAGAATAAACAAGGACATCTATTGTATAGGCCGCGGCCTAAATGCACGGTGTATACGTAGTCATTGATCGCATTTGTGAGTGCTCGCTGTTATTGGTGTATTCTTTTAGATCATCCAATAGCAGCGAGCGCTCAACAATTGAGTCTGCTGAACGCGACCATTAAACCACCAAGAGAAAGGAGATTTCGATGTATCTTTCTCTGTGGTCGAGAACGAAATATACATATTTCGTCATTTTTTGTTACGTTGAAACGTGAACCCTCAATACCCACGCAGAGTAAAACCCGTATCAGACTACCGACTCTGCAGGCCGACCCGACTGCCAACTCTGACTGCCGGACAATAATGGACCAATCACAATAAGACTGATTCAATGTGATTGGTCCATTATTGGTCAACAGCCAGAGTTGGCAGTCGGGTCGGCT